CACTGTGGAAGTCTTGGGAGCCGCCCCCCAGTTTCAGTGAGGGTTTCAGGCCCTGTGGTAGAGGCTCAGCATGAGCTGGGTGTGGAGGCAGAGCGAATGTCAGTTTCTGTCATAATAACTAGAAGAGGTTGTAGTCTGTAAGCCCCTGGACCAAAGTGGTTTCTGCGGGTGGCCACCATGATGCATGATGGGCTTTACAAGTTTTCTCTAAAAAACAAAACGAAACATGAGCTCTGCCTTTAACCACAGTCACCACCACTTTTGCTTAGACCCACCCATCCTTTGTTTGCTGGATACCTGAACCCTGAAGGCATTTATGCTTGCAAACCTTGGACTGGGTGTCACAATAACACAGGGAAAGCATGGAAAGCTTGCATAGCTACTGGATTGTGGAAGGATTTACACAGTTAACACCAGCAAGTTTGGACTTAATCTGCGGGGGGGTAGGGAGCCATTGAAGGGTTTTGAGCAAGGCTTAGAGTAACAGGGCTTGTCTGTTAGGTCGATCTACAGTGGGCCTGGGGCAATCCATTAGGAGTTTTTGGTAGTAGCCCAGTGAGGAGAAATAAAAGGCTTGAACTAGAATGGGGCCATGAGCACAAAAAGGCAGGCATGTGTTTGACCACTGTTATGGAGCTGACTTCATGTTCCGTAACTGATGAGATGTGAGGCAGTGACCCAGAATAATGGTACCAGTAACAGAAGGGGAGGTAGGTGGGAATAAATGTGGACCCAAGAAGTCCTTCGTGGTGAAGTACTGAGTTTGAGGTGGAAGTCTGAATTTATGCTCAGACTGCTCAGTGGAGTAGTTGAAAAGTTGGCTCTTGACAGACTCCTGATGTTCCGAGAGAGATTTCTGAACTTTTTTTTCAAAGCTCATATTAATCGCCTGATAGTTGTTTTTGACAATCCATTGACTTAATGCGGTTATTGTCCTGTGGTGGCCTTTACTTGGTCCAGTGCAGGTAGCTCTGGTCCTTGGTAATTGTTAGTAAATCAAGGATGTTGGACTATGGGTAGAACAGACAGAGAAATATTAGTGTTGATTAGTGAAAGTGAAGGTAGGGTATCTTGGGTTTATTCTCAAGTTGCCTTGAGAAAGCTAGATCCTAGGGTCGTGGCTAGAAGGCTTGCTTCTATTGGTAAGGGCTGACTTGACCACAGGCCCAGACCTGTGACTATGAGTCTCCGTCTTACAGCCTGGAATCCAGCCAACGTTATGTGCACCTGTGGTAGCTGTTGGAAGAGGTTTTCAGTGCCTCTACCTACTAAAAAGAATTTCACTGAGAATAGAGTCATTCAGTGCAGAGTTCTTGAATCTCTTCATGTAAGAGGCCTGGCTCATTGAAGTGGTTCCAGAAAAACTTTGTAAATTATAAGAATGACAATTATTGGTAATTGGATGATGCTTAAGGCTAGCCTGCTTGAGATCAAATTAATGCTGCACTTGTGTTTTTTTAATGGGTTAGAAGTTTGCTTTGAGACTCTATCATCAGTAGATAATATAAGAAAATGCTCACATTTAGTACTTACATTTTAAAATTGTCCTGGTTTATAGTCGAGCATATAGTTGCATTTTTGCTTATGCCTATCAGTTATATTAATACATTTTTCATGCCAAATCCCCAAGGAACAAACTCTTATTTATAAACCCTGATTTCATTGAAAATGTGACCTGCGGGGGGGGGATCATCGGTTATATAATGTGATTCTGATTCCAAAGGGAGTTTGTCTTTGTTGGTGTTAATGATGTATAGCAGAAATGAGGGTTATAAAACTATCCCATAATCTTTGAAACTGACTTTTTAAAAAGGTGTATTTACAGAAAATTCTGATTTTGAAAAAAAGCTTTTAATCTGCCTCAACATTTAGCTTTGGATATACTTAAGGCAAATACATGAGTTTCATTTCAAACATATTAATAAAATTTGCTTGATTATTGACCTCTTAGTTTTCAGGATCTCTGACCTTATCGGAGGATTTGAAATTGCTCATATAGTAGTCCATTTAAGAATTATGATTAAAAATTTGACATCATGCCTTGGAATTTTTGCCTATGTTGAAGGTGGGTGGGCATCAGAGTTGAAGCTGGAGTTTACTTCTGAGAGCTGGTCTCCGGTCAGCCTGCATTCCTGTTAAGGTGTTTCTGTTTATAGTGTCATGAACTATCGCTTTAAAATGGACGGGTAAATTTGCGGTGTTGTTTCGAGCCCCATTGGAGCCAGTCTGCTTGAGTTTATGTGGCATCTGTCTAAAACAGACAATGCCTGGATTTTTCTTAGGCAAACGATTTGAGGCAAACTCTGTGGTTATTAGTTCCTCACAGTCCCTGCCCACACTTCTGCCTTCTCTCCCTTGTTCATCTTAACTCTTGTCTCATGATTTGGGGCGTTGGGGGTATTTCCATATTTCTCTCTGAGTTTGTTTGTTTCAAGAAAGAACCATGTTTTCAGTTTCTAGTGTTCTGTTCAGGAGCTCACTCCCTGCTTCTGTTGTGTGTCACTTGAGAGGTGACAGAATAAAACAGGCAGCAGAGCTATTTTTTTCTCTCTTTTGGGGATGATGAATTCTGTGAATCTATATAGTAAGCAGTTACATCTCAGGATGGCTTGATATCACATGGGTTAGTGTAACCCAGGGACCTTACTTGAGTTTGGATAATAACAGGTTTACCATCAAATTTTCCTTAGGGCATAACTCTTGAGAGGAAAAGCCTCCTAAAATTGAAAGCCTTGATAGCCTTTATTACAAGTTCAATCTGTAGTCTTAAAGGAAGAACCTAATCAGCTACTGACAGTGTTAGACCATCTGTCTAAATATGACTATTTTCCTGCGAACCAATGAGAGCCTTACCTCCCCTCAGATTAACATTCTGTGACAAATGCTGCCTGGTGAGCAAGCGATTTTTCAATGTAAGATTGCATTCTTTATTGTTTTAATGTACCTCAGGGCAGAAGCATAATACTTTAAAAAAAGGGGGAGGGTTTTTTCTAATAAAGATGGCAGCAATTGAAAACAGATTGGAAGAAAACACAGCTACTGTTAAAAAAAAAAAGTCTTTATGCAAATAGCGTAAAGGTTTAAGACTCGATTCCTCAATATCTCTCCAATAGCCGATGCTGATTAAGCTTAGTGTTAGTAGATAGGACGAGGATGATATCGAAATTGTTGTTTTCACCTACCAATAGCTTAGTACCTGCAGATAGAAGACACACACACATAGCCCGGCTCAGTGGCTTAGCCTGTAATCCCAGCACTTTGGGAGGCCGAGGTGAGTGGATTGCCTGAGCCCACAGGTTCGAGACCTGCCTGGGCAACTTGGCGAGACCTCATCTCTACAACAAATCAAAAAATTAGCCGGGTGTGGTAGCGCGCGCCTGTCGTTCCAGCTAAGCATGTACTTAGGTGTAGGTACATGCTTTTCTATTTTTTTTCCTCGCAAGTGATGTTTGTTGCATTGGGATCTTCTGTTTCTAAAATGCTGGGAACTCTTCTTCTTCTTCTCTGTCTGTGCTTAGTTCCTTTAAATGCTGCTTGGTCTTGCAGAACCTGAGTTTTAAAGAGCTAGCTAAAAATAGACTTGTCACTGTAAGCACCTCCTCACACCTGCGTTTCTCCTGGGTTCCTGAAAGATCGACCAGCATTTTTCGGATTTGCACATCAAAACAGTTGGAGGGCAAACAGCTTCTGTTTAGTCAACACTTCCAGTGTTGGAAAACGATGCCAGATTTTAAAACGAGTTTGTGCCTTAAGAGCAGTGGACATGGTCTACTGTGGAGAGGGATGATGTGGCCGTGTTGAGGTTGATCAGGCCAGCCTGAGCTTCCTCAGTTGTTCACTTCCACTGCACCCTACGGAGGGTTTACAAAAAGATAACTTCCTTTGCGCAAGAACACATGGCTTATTTTTCCTGTGTTTAATCATTTGACTTTCCAAACTTCAAGAGTGTGCTAGGTATTGACGGGTGGAGCAGGCTGAAGGCGATTTCTCAGGTTTGCTACTGTGAAAGAGCACTGGCTAGGGGTTCTGCTTTCTAGTTGTATTGCCTCTGCCTGGTCATCTGTTTCATCACATACAAAACAGAGGTGATCACATGCCAGTCTTAATGCATGTAAAGAGTCGGCCAAAAGAAAAGTTTTCAAACATAAAATTGGGGAGCAGTGTCATCGTAGGCCAAAAAATAAAACATTGTGAGCCACCGAGCCTGGCACCTTATCTTTTAATTGCATAAATAAGAGACTTTCCTCAGTTGGTTTTTAGGAAAGATGTAAAAGGTGTAATGTATGATCTCTTTATGGAAAGATAATGTATTATACCGATTTTTGTGAAAGCATGCTTGTTTGTATACTGGGAAATAACATTATGAATAATTTGCTAACTGTATTTTGTGATTGTGCCCTCTCTCCACACACATGATACAAATCTGAGTAAACTATAGTTCATTTACTAAAAATGAATGATGTGAAATTTCTATTTTCCAGATTTATTAATTTGTCCTCTATCTGCAGGTACTAAAATTTTTTCAAATTTATTAATTTTGCCTTTAATCCTAGCACTTGAAGAGGTCAAGGTGGAAGGATTGCTTGAGCCTAGGAATTCAAGACAGCCTAGGCAACATGGTGTGGCCTCAAAAGTTCAAAAAATTAACCAGGGGTGGTGGCACATGCCTTTAGTCTCAGCTACTCAGGAGGCTGAGGCAGAAGGATCGCCTGAGCTCCGGTGAGCCATAAAAAAAAGAGTGTGTATGCCCATGGTATAAAATGTCAAAGCTACCAAAGAATGAATGTATGTTGAAAAGTAAGTTTCATTCCTTGGTTATGTTGGAGGAACCAGTTAGGAGCAGGTTACTAGGTATACACTTGTGTATTTGTACAGAAATGAGAAGTGTAACTTTTGTAATGATGCCTCTTACTCGGTGTTATCACCTTTTGGAGCCAGTGTTTTCATGGCATTTGAGTTTATTGATTTCTGTATTTTTTTTTTTTTTTTAAATTTTCCAGTTGCAGCATGAGAAAGCTGAGCTAGAACAGCATCTCGAACAGGAGCAGGAATTTCAGGTCAACAAACTGATGAAGAAAATTAAAAAACTGGAGAATGATACAATTTCTAAGCAACTTACATTAGAACAGGTAAGCACCTATAGATTTTCCTGTCCATTGTTTTTTCCTGTTATCAGCTTGTTCTTTTAAGCTTTAAGATGCCCTGAGAAATAGAAGTGAAAAATATTTTTCAGCTGTTTCTCCCCAGAGTGGAGACTTTATTTTTGAAGTAAGCATTGACAAGTTGACAGAATTCTTATCATTCTCTCACACATTCTCTTATCATTCTCTTTCTTCTTTCTTTTTCTAAACCGCAGTTAATAAAGTTTCAGGAGATGTATTGTGATGTACTGATTTATAGCAGGAAGTGTCAGGTTCCTTTTTGCAAACCAAAAGGGGAAGAATGTTTGTAACCACCGGATAGTTTCCGTGAAAGTTCCTGAGACGGTGTTGCTATGGAACTAAAACTTTTCTTCCAAAGGTTCTTCAAAACAATCATATTTTTCTTCTTCGAATTATTAGCCACCTTATAGACACCCTACCTCCTCCCAGCTAAGCTTGTTGGATACAGATATGGAGTCATAGACTTGGTAACTCATCATCTCTGGTCAGCACATCTTAGGTCAGGTCTGCTGACCCAAGATTAGTTGTATGGCCTTGGATTAACTTCATTAACTTCTCTGGAACCCAGTTCTCCATTTGTAGGCAGAGCAAGACAGACCAAAATCAGAAATGGCAAATTTAACAAGGTACAGAAGGTGGGAGGTGAAAGCACACAGTTCTTTTGTCTGTTTCTCTGGGCGGGTGTTGGTGTGTGATCACAGTACTCGCCTTGAGAGTCCAGACTGATCTGTGTACACAGTCTTTATCATACAGAACTCTAGGCAGCCATTGTTAGTCCATCCAGGGTGTACCTGTTATTCCTAGCCTTGGTGTCCCCTGATACTTTTCTTACCCTAGCATCCTGAAATTTTATTTCCCCTAAGATGTAAGAGGCTGACCATGGTGTGCTGCTTCTTGGGTTTCCATGTAAAATTTGATAGATTGATTAAGACCTTCCAGCTCTTTTTATTTCAGATCCCAATTGCCATGATGATGATTTGGCTAAACCTTTCATATAGATTATCTCAAATTTAGAATCGTTACTGTGTATCTTTGTCCATGTTGATTGGTTCATCAGTCAGTCTCAATCATTGCTCTAGTTTCTACATTTTACCTGAGAATGAAACAGTGATGGTGTTTCAAGGCTTGGAGGAAGGTTGGAGTTTGTATTAAATTAATATTAACTATATTCTGTTATTTGTGTTATTCTTGTATCTACTTACATAAAAAAAGGGGGGTGTTGGGTTTTACAAGACTGGACAGTGGCTCTAAAATATTTATTTATCCTTTCAATGTGTAAAGGACAAAGAAAATTTAGCTTTCAAGTGTTGGCTATTTTATACATGTCCAGATAACCCCATTTTTACCATTTATCTTTTAGATTGAAATGCAATGTCTGAATTTAGAAGACCACCCCCAACCCAACCACTTCATCAGTTTAAAAACATTTTATTCCAAAATTCTCCTGTTTAATTCCCAGGATAGGCAGTCGTTCCAGTTCTGTTCAAGTTAAAGCTTTGAGATTCTTGTTTAAGTCCCTCACATACCAAGTATTTGCTTGTTAATCAAGAATTAACCAAGTGTTCAAGTGAAGTTCTCACACAAAGCTGGTCTTGGGAAGAGCCTCACCTGGCCATGCCTTTCACGATGATTATTGTCAATATCTTTTTTTTTTGAGTCAGAATCTCACTCTGTCGCCCACGCTGGAGTGCAGTGGCACACTCAGGGCTACTGCACCCTTGACCTACTGGACTCAGGCAATGTTCCTGCCTCAGCTTTGCAAGTAGCTGAGGCTAATTTTTTTTTTCTTTCTGTAATTGTAGAGATGAGGTCTCACCAAGTTGCCCAGGCTGATCTCGAAACCCTGGGCTCAGATAATCCTCTTCCCTCCATCTCCCAAAGTGCTAGGATTATATAAACCACCACACCTGGCTATTGTCAATATCTTAAATATCTTCTCTGTGGTATTTATTCACAGGCTCCTCAAGGACACGTTAAGACTGGAGCTGTGACCCTAAGGGTTTAGCTATGGCCACAAGGGGGAGGTAGTGGCCTAGAGTCAGAAAAGGATAGTCTGACCCTACAGTTTCAGGGAGAGAGGGGACTGACTGTCTCACGATCAGACTTTGCAGACTTTAGTAACTGAACCCCTCTACACCAAGTTATTAACTTAGTGAACTTTTGGGCTTATTTCAGACCTGGACAGTCAATAAATGGATATAATAAAATATGTGTGTTGCAAGCCTCGCACTAGAAATTAGCTTCAGATTCAGTATATGAAGCCCATATTTTAATTAAAATGGAGAAATTTAACATTGCTATAAAAATTTTTTCCCTTTTTGTTTTGTCTGTATGCAGGATGATTAAATATTGGGGATTTTATTCTGTTTTAACTATAAACAATTTAATCAGTGTTTAGGGGGAATATTTGTCTTTTCCTTTCAGTAGATATAAATTTCTTTGGCGTTTTCACGGATAGGCTTGTATGATATTTGTATAACATATTATACAAATTATTATGATAATATTTGTATAATGTATATTATAAAGCATAACTTATACTATATGCTATTGTCAGCAAAGCAAAGATGTACTGCACTGGGTATTATAATGATTTATATGTAGCATATGCCTTATGCTCTTCTGACAGTAAACATTTTTTAAGCTATAAAATATTTGAAGGCAGTTGCCCTGTATGCCTCGCACGTGTTCTCTGTAGGCCCCGCACATTGCTGTTAGAACAGTTTAATAGTAGGTTTGGGCATGTGAATGGAGAGAGGTCATCTGATTTTAGTAGTCAGTACAGGCTAGCGTTCAGGACCCAGATGCAGACTCAGAAGCAAGCAGGTGCAAACCTGTTTCCTCTGCTTAATATTTTAAAAGTTTTAGTGAGATATAATAGTAACATACAACTCACCCATTTAAAATGTATAATCGAAAGGTTTTTAGTACATTTGGAGTTGTATGGTCATTGTCATGGGTTTAGGACACTATCATGATCTCAAAAATAAACCCTGTACCCTTCATCTGTCACCTCTAGTCTCTTATTCCCCTTAAGCAACCACTACTCTACTTTCTGTCTATATATTAGCCTATTCTGGACATTTCACATAAACAGGTTTGTATAATATGTGGTTTTTTTGTGACTGGCTTCTTTCATTTAGCATGGTGTTTTTGTTCCTGTTGTAGCATGTATCCATACTTCCTTTTTCTAGCCAAAGAATCTTTTGCCATATCTTATTTATCCATTCTTCATTTGATGGAAATTCAGGTGTCATTATTATATACTAATCTTTTGATGATTATGAATAATGCTACTATGAATATTTATGTACAATTTTTTGTATGAGTATATGTTTTCATTTTTCTTGGGCACGTACCTAGGAGTGAAATTGCCTCGTCACATGGTAACTCTGGTTAAGACTGTACAAAATGTAATTTAAACATAATCCACATTGTATATGAAGTAGGCTGAACCTGCAGAAAGAATATTGGACAGCATCCTGCTATGGATCTGAGTTTGCCTTGACGTTGGTTTTGAAGGTGTAGCTTGTGTTGTCATGGTTTTTAAGTAGGTACCTTCCTGTTCTCTGTAAATCAGAACTTAACTAGGTTGAGCTCCTTCCAAGCATTAAAAAGCACACATTAGCTTATTTACTAAGTGAAGTTTGGCTTAGCAGAGAGGAAGGCCTTCTGTGTGCTCAGGTTAGAAAATTATCTTGGGAGAAGATAACAGTGACCATACAACATGTGTACCACCGTTATTAGGTAGTACAATAGAAAATTAGTAGAATAAATGAGTGGAGGGTTACTCGTGTAATTCAGCTAACAGGTAGGTAGACCCCAGTTAACTCACTTGCCAGCAGGCCCTCACTGTAAGTTTATTTCACCTAAAGTCAGACCTTCAGCATGGACTCTTTAATTAGTCAGACAGCATTTATTCTTCTCTTAGTTCTAGAATCTGGAATCCTTTTATTCTTCAAATAGAGGGTGTTACCAGCTTGCTCATTAAGATCTCTGGGCTATAAATGGTTCTGTTGGTGTTTTTTCAGTATATGAGTATGAATTCATAGAAGGCCATATTGTGAGGGTGAAGATTTTTCCTTTGTCCCCAGACTCTAGTGGGGACATGAGAAGGAGGAATTTATTTTGGTTACCTTTTGGGCGCTTATTTAGCATTCTAAATGCTTGATGTCAAAAGTCAATTTATAAGTAGATGTGAAAAAGCGTGTTCAGAATAATGTAAAATTTTGAGGTCATTTCAGTACACGGTATTAGTCTAATAAATTGGATTAATCTAGTCAACATGACTTTATTGCTGTGAGGACTATTTTAAGCAAACGTTGGTGGCCACTGCCGTTAGCCCTTAATTGAAGATTTCTGTTCAAACATGTGGTCACTGTAAGTTTAGTTGGTATTCACATTTTCTTAGGTGATGGGAAGAACATTTAGAACTTGGAATTTTCTATGTGTCAAGAAATCTTGATCTGAATAATATGTTCTGCCAACTAGGGAAGATTTTTTTTTTATTTGCCTAGCATTGAAAAGCACACATTATCTTATTTACTAAATGAAGTTTGGCTTAGCAGAAAGGAGGGCCTTCTGCGCACTCAAGTTAGAAAATTATGGGGAAGAAGACAACAGTGACCATACAACATGTGGACTAGACACTCTACCGTTATTAGGTAGTACGACAGAAAAATAGTGGAATAAATTAGTGGAGGGTTAGTCATGTTCAGCTAACACTTATATGATGAGTAGGACTGCCTAGCGTGTATCAGATCCCTTACTTTTGTCCTTCCTGTAATTGACTTGATATATCTTTCTCAGTTACTCCTGGAATTTGGGGGCATAGTCCCTAATCTAAGATATCTCCCCACCCACCCAGAGCACTAAAACCCATATCTAAAGGTTGGATTTAGAATTAGTATGGTCATTTTAATTCATTAGCATCCATTTATAATGACAACATCTTAGCCCATCTTAAC